CAGACCTGGTGGCATGAACTCACGCTGGGTGCATGTGCGTGCATGTCCAAGATCCCTAGAGGAGAATAGAGGAGAAGGGATTGTGGCATGCCATCCCCCCAGGGGGTGATTTCTCGCTTTCTGTACCTCTTTCTCTTTCTGTCTTTCTGGGGAGCACATGCACCCTATAGCAAAAACCTCTCCTCTTTATAAATATATATATAGCAATTCTTTAAAATCTTCAAATATCCAACCAGGGCTCAAATTTTCCCAACTGTCTTTCTCCCTCTCTCTCTTTGGCCTCCCTGCCCCCCCCTCACTTTTTCAAGTCCATAGGTTCTCTTATTCTCTCTTTTTCCCTAATAGTTTTGCTGAAGAAACTAGGTTGGTTGTTCTGGGAAAGTCTTCCATAGTCTTGACTGTGCTGGTTACACCTAGTCTACCCTACAGTTTGACAATGGAGTGCCCTGAGTCTCAATCCTTAAAACTCATCTAACTTTGCCCTACCCTCACTTTCTTGGTTTCCATCCAGTGTTTTAGGTTCAAATATATGCCGAATATTCTGTATAGATAGCTTCAGGCTAGACTTCTCCCCTTAAGCATTAGACTGAAATATTAAACTGCCTCCTCGCTATTGCCACATATATATTTAACAGGCATCTCAAGCTTAGCATATCAAAAACCAAGTTCCAAGGGTTCTCCTCCCCCAAGCCTTGCAACTCCCATGACTATCCTCATTTCATTTTTCTAGGTGCTCAGGATAAAATCTTTGGAGTTGTCTGTGATTTCTCTACTTACTTCCTACATCCGATATGTTATCTTTACTTTCGAATCCAACCACTTCCCATCACCCTCACCGCTTTCTCTGTCCAAGTCGTCATCTCCCACCTAGATTAGTCTCCCTGATGCAGCTATTGCCCCCTGCAGGGGGTTCTCAGCACAGCAACCCGAGCGCCTGATGGGATTGTAGTAAAAGTCAGAGAATGCCATTCTCATGCTGATATCCCTTCAATGGCTCCCCTCTCCCTCCAAGTGAAAGGTAAAGTGCTTACAGAGGCCCCCAAAGACCCTACCACTTGCTTTGACCCTGACATCTCCCCAGTCTCATCTCCTACTGCTTGCATTCTTCTCATGTGAATTATTGAAGAACACGCAAATTCCACCCTACATTTAAAAAAGGTTATTTATTTATTAAGAAAAATAGAGATGTCCCCCCACAACAGGGTCTTCATGCTATACCCAGCCTCCACCAGTCATGATCACAGGCATGTGTTCATGCACCTGCAGTGTTCAGGGAGACCTCAGGATGCTAACGGGAACCCTTCCCATGTGGTCCAGCATCACCAAGTGTTGCCTTACTACCGCACCACCGTCTAGCCCCCTGCTCCTAACTTTAAGGATTCAGCACTGCTGTTGTTGCTATTTTTTAATTTCTGGGGCTTTGTTTCCCCAGGTATTCTTATGATTCATTTCCTCAGGTCTCTGTCTACATGTCACATCCTCAGGCCTTCCCTGACTATGCTCTCTACGATAGTACTCACTCCTTCATCGTCTCTCTCTCTTATCTTGTGTCATTTTTCTCCATAGCAGACATTCACCTAATTAATTATCTATTTATTTTCTGCCTTGCTGAACCCAATGCACCAGCAGGGACTTAGTTTTATAAACTACTGTATCCTAAGAGTATAGAATAATTCCTGGCACATAGTGCTGCTCAATAAATATTTGATGAATGAATGCATAAGATAATTACACAAATGTAAATATGTATTATAGTAGCGCTTTTTTCGTGCGTTATATAAAAAAGGAAGTATTGGCTTTTCCTTCTGGCTAATCGTCTTGGCTTAGTCAGAACTCAGGGAAGGCTTCATCAAAGATGAGATTTGCAATAAGTTTGAGATGAGCCAGGCAGAGGAAGGGGAAGAGCCCTCCAGGCAGAGGAACAGCCTGCAGGGGGTCTGGGGAGGAGTCTTGATTTGGAGAGGAGAGGCACACTGGAGGGAGATGAAGAAAATCTGAGCAGGTGCCTTGGGGAGGGAGAGGTAATAAGGCCACTGAAAAAGTTTTGGGCTTTATCTTGAGGGTAGTTGGTGTGGGAAAAAGTGACATGATTAGACCTGAAATTTGAAAACAGCAATGCAATTTATTTGTTTATTTAATAAACCCATACATAGAGTTTATTTAGTGCCAAGTCCTGTTCTAAGTGATACACTCTTACTAACTCATTTATTCTCATTCGACACCATGATGTGTGTATGGTTATTAACCCCATTTTACAGATGAGGAAATTGAAGCACAGACCATTAAGTGATTTGTCCAACATCACAGAGCTATGAAGTGGCAGATTCAAATCATGCGGTCTGGTTCCATGGTCTGTGTTTTTTCCTTTCTCTTCTGATATCAACTTCTGTGAGGGATAATTTACATGCCGTAGAACGCACCCATTTCGGTTCCAGTTCAATGAGATTTGATGTGTCTGTATCCGTGTAACAACTACCACAATCAAGGTATCGATATTTCCATCAGCCCCCAAATTTTCCTGTGCCCCCTTGCAGTAAACTTCTTCCATTGCACCCTAGTTTTGCCTCAGGCCACTCCTGACTTGCTTTCTGTTAACGTAGATTATTTTGCTTATCCTAGAGGTTTATATAAATAGAATCATGCAATGCATACTCTTTTATGACTGGCATTTCTTGCTTGGCCTAATGTTTCTGAGGTTCATCCATGTTATTGCATATGCCAGTAGATTATTCCTTTTCCTTTGGGTGCTTTTAAGATTTCTGAAATTTTGAAATAATTGTAGAGTCATAGGACATTGCAAATAAATACATACAAGAAGATCTCCTGTACTTCTTTCTATTTCCCCCAATGATTACATCTTGCATAATTATAGTACAATATCAAATCTGGGAAATTGAACAGGGTATAGTCAAGAGTTTATTCAGATTGTACCAGTGTTACATGCATTTCTGTGTGAGTATATTTGTATGTAGTTTTTTTCAGTTTTGACATGTGTGTGCTTTCATGTAATAACTACCCTAATCAAGATCCAGAAATGTTTCATGACCACAAAGCTCCTTGATATTACACTTAATAGCCACCAACTCCCTCTCCCCATGGCAAACACTAATCTGTTCTCTTCTCTATAATTCTATTTCAAGAATGTTATATAAATGGAATCATCAGTATACAGTATTACCTTTTATGATTGGCTTTTTCCACTCAGCATAGTTCCTTTTAGGAATACTTACTGTTCAAGTAGCATATATCAACAGTTTATTCTTTTACATTGTCAAGTAGTATTCCATGGCATGGATGTACCACAGTTAATTTAACCATTTACTCATTGAAGAACATTGGATTGGCTCCAAGTTTTGGTTATTAGGAACAAAGCTGCAATGATCATTTGTGGACAGGTTATTATTATTTTTTTTGAGAGGTTTTTGCTATAGGGCACATGTGCTTGCCAGAAACAGAGAGAGAGAGAGACAGAAAGCAAGAAGTCACTCCCCCCGGGGGGGTGATGGCCATGCCATAATTTCTTCTGCTCCATTCTCCTCTCAGGATCTTGGGCATGCATGCACACACTCCTGGTGTGAGTTTAAGCTACCAGGTCTGGAACTTGAACCACGATCGACTACACAGGAGTCCAGCGACATAGCCATGATGCCAACTACTGGTCCCTGTGAACAGGTTATTATGTGAACATGTTCTAATTTCTCTGGGATAAATGCTCAACAATATAATTTCTGGTCTATATGTTAAGTATACATTTAGTTTCATAAGAAAGGACCAAACTGTTTTCTGGAATAGCTATGTCATTTCATATACTCATCAGCAATATATGAGCCATCCAGTTTCTCTGCATCCTTTCCAGCATATGGAATTATTAATTTTTATTTTAGCCATTTGATAGATCTGTACTGATATGATAGTTTCAATGGTCGTTTTCTTAATGGCTAATAATATTGAATATCTTGTCATGTGTTTGTCATCTGTGTATCCACTTTGGTGATATAGCTACTCATGTCTTTTGTTTATTTTCTAATTAGATTGTTTGTTTATATACTGCTCCCCTTCTCTCAACAATTTCAGTCCTATGCTCTTTGTTGTTCAATGTCTGAAACCTTTGTGTCATATATTTTCATTGTTTTTTTAAATTGCTTAATGCAGGAGGGTTTAATTCATCGTATCTGGAAGCAATATTCTAAGCAATGTAATTTTTGTTGCTAGGAAATGGATATACTATATTTGTTGTTCAATATTTGAGTTATTTTCAATTATTGGTTATTATTAGTACAACTGCACAAATCTTTGTGTGAACATGTTTTAATTTTTCTTAGATAAATATATAGTAGTGAAATTCCTTTATCACAGAATAATGCATATTTTACTTTATAAGACACTACCAAGGAATTTTACAAAGTACTTGTATCACCAGTGTGTAAGAGTTCCTGTTGCTCCATATCATCACCAAGATTTGATATTGTCAGTCTTTTAATTTTTAGCCATTCTAGAGAGTTTGTAGTGGTTTTTAGTGAGTTTAATTCGCATGTTATGTTAACTAATGCTGTGATAACATTTTATGTGCTTACTGGCCATTTATGTATCTCTTTTTATAAAATTTGACTTCCTATCTTTCTCCCATTCCCCCCTCACCCATTGGCTTGTTTGTCTTTGACCGAATTGCCTGAATTGTAAAATTCTTCATCATATTTGGGATATAACCTCCTTTTCATATATAACAGAGTCTATGCTTTTAGCCCCCCCTCTTTGCTGGATTGAGGGGAATGGGAAGTGGTGGTAATAATATAAACAAGCCATTGTTGTCACCAAAAAGAGAGATGTATCTTAGACTAAGAGATAGACATTTAGATAGAATTTACAATTTATTCTTAAAAACCTTCAAGAAAGTCTCAGTGTACTTGTTTTCCTTTTTGTCTTCTGGGTGTTCTTAAGTTTATTAATTTATTTTTTATTAAAGCCTGAATCACTTCTATGCTTGAATTAACTACAGGAGAATGTTTCAGGAATCTGCGACATACTCCCTTTTCCTGTTCCTTTTTCTGGGTCATGGAGTGGCAATTCACAGAATTCCAAGTTTCAGGCAGGGTAAGTCCTGAGGGAGAAATCACCCTCCATGGTGTCTACACATTTTAGGGAACATACTGGTATAGATCAATTGAGGTACATGATGCCTTGATATATTTTGGTGTGCGTGGTTACATGTATGTGTGTGTGTGTGTGTGTGTGTGTGTGTATGTGTGTGTGGCATTTTCAAGATAATTCTGAAAGAGTTTTTCAAGCTAGGGTTATAATTGGCATAGCTATAATTAAAGTTTACTAGAGGTTTTCCTCCATGAATGAATTTTCCGGGGGCTCATCTCATAACCCATATTTGTATTTTTAAAGGTCACACAATTCAACTCTAGTTACACATTCAATGGCTTTCTTATAGATTTGCATCCATTATTGCAAAAAATGGCGGTGAGTATTCCATTTTATTTTAATCAAAATCCTTTGTACTGGAGCTGCCAACTTTTGGATATTACGCTTGATGCTATTGCTCTGCTTTTTAGGAAGAAATAATAGATGGAAGCTATCTGAATGGTAACGTACCTACTCCATCCCCACTAGCTTCTTCTAAGAATTTCAAACAGAATGTGGCTGTGTTCTCTCTGAAATGATTCCTTTTTAAGTCGTCTTTTCATTTTATTTTCATCGTAGCATTACTGGACCTCATACAGTTCCGAAGGTAACTTGCCCTGATGGGGAGGGAGGGGGAAGAATGAGATAGATTTTTTTTTTTTTTTTGGAGAGGTTTTTGCTACAGGGTGCATGCGTTCACCAGAAAGACAGAGAGAGACAGAGAGATAGAAAGCGAGAAATCACCCCCCGTGGGGATGGCCACACCGCAATCCCTTCTCCTCCATTCTCCTCTTGGGATCTTGGGCACGCACGCATACGCGCCGGCGTGAATTTAAGCCACCGGGTCCGGGACTTGAACCACAGTTGACTACATGGGAGTCCAGCGACACAGCCATTATGCTAACTGCTGGTCCCATGAGACAGATTTTTAATAAAAATTCTTAACGAAAGTCTCGTCATTGTAGAAAGTAAAGAAAGTAATGCATATTCATGACAAAAATGTCCACCAAGGTGCGAGTGTTGTAAAGTCGACACGTGTTCCGCATACATGTATTTGCCTCTGCTCTACCATGAGAGCCAGACTTTCTTGAATGTTTACCATGTAGCACAGACACGATGGTGAGTGCTTCACAGAAAGAAGCTCATCTAATCCTCACATGTGACCACAAGGTAGTTCCTGTTCTCCCATTGGACAGAATAATGAAACTGAGGCACAAGAGGGCAAACCAATGCCATGTAGCTGGAAAGTGGTAGAGCTGGCATGTAAACCCCAATTCTAGTAGCCTGGACCTAGGGCCCATTCCTTTTACTATTGTGGTATGTGCTGCATCCAGGCCTGTCAGATGGGGCAGGAAGCTAGGTAGTGTTGAGGCCATTTTTAACAAATAATCCTACTGTGATGAGTATATGAAGGAAAAGAAATGGGGATTTTAAGGTACCACGACAGGGACACCCACTTAAGTGAAAGATTTCCATAAATACGTCTCTCCCCAAGATAACTCCAATGAGTTGTTTTGAATACATTATTTCAGACTCAAAATTTTATGTATCTATTTACTTATTAATCTATCCATCTATTTATTTATAACAAAAAATCAAATTATGAAGGGCTATCAGCACTTAGTATATGTCAGGCACTGTTTTAAGTACTTTACATGTCTGAGTGAATTTAATCCTTCAATTGTTGGCCATATTTTATAGGAATGAAAACTGAGATGCACGAAAAACCAGTAAATTGTTTAATGCCATACACTTCATGGTATAGCCTGGATTCAAATCCAGGTTTGGAGCCTGCATTCTTTATATGCTACTTCAGTCTCTTTTGGTATGCACAACATCTGCTTTTAAACCTCAGATAGTAAGGCCACCATTCCAAGTCAGTCTGTTTGGATAGTAGTCAGTCTAAGTGGATTGTTATGAAAATTAGAACATTGCAAGCAGCACAGAAATTGATAATGTTTTTTTTTTTATTAAAGAGATTTTTGCTATAGAGTGCATGCATTTCTGGAGAGACAGAGAGAGACAGAAAGACAAAGAGCAAGAAATCACACCCCCCCCCCAGGGGAGATGACCATGCTTCAGTCCCTTCTCCATTGTCCTCTTGGGATTTGGGGCACACATGCACATGTGCCAAGCATGAGTTTCAAGTCTCTGGGATAAGGACTTAAACTGCAGTTGGCTGTGTAGGAGACCAGTGTAACCATTACGCCATCTATTGGTTCCAATAACAGTCTTTGAGAGAATGGGATCCAAGCAAATTCCTAGAATTGGAAACTCTCCCTCCAGTCTCTTTTGTATGCACAACATCTGCTTTTAAACCTCAGATAGTAAGGCCACCATTCCAAGTCAGTCTGTTTGGATAGTAGTCAGTCTAAGTGGATTGTTATGAAAATTAGAACATTGCAAGCAGCACAGAAATTGATAATGTTTTTTTTTTTATTAAAGAGATTTTTGCTATAGAGTGCATGCATTTCTGGAGAGACAGAGAGAGACAGAAAGACAAAGAGCAAGAAATCACACCCCCCCCCCCAGGGGAGATGACCATGCTTCAGTCCCTTCTCCATTGTCCTCTTGGGATTTGGGGCACACATGCACATGTGCCAAGCATGAGTTTCAAGTCTCTGGGATAAGGACTTAAACTGCAGTTGGCTGTGTAGGAGACCAGTGTAACCATTACGCCATCTATTGGTTCCAATAACAGTCTTTGAGAGAATGGGATCCAAGCAAATTCCTAGAATTGGAAACTCTCCCTCCATTGACCTAAATTAATGAATCTTACTTCTAAGCACAAAGTTCCTAGAATCCTTTGCCCATCCTCACCACCCTCTGTGAACTCCTGTCCCCTGGGCATGTGGCTAGGGAAACAGTGCTTGAAGGGGAACCCGTCATGGTGACTTTCTCTCCTCTGTCTTCGACTGAAGCTCCCACGAGTGGACGTCAGACCTGTCCCACAGAATCTTGGCCTATCTGAATTCACGGAGTGTTTCCTTCACCATCCCTAGCCTGCAGGTGTGTACCTGAGACTCATCTATATGATCCACTTTCAGGGCCTAGAGATCGCAAACTCAGGGGCTGAGTAAGCTGGAGAAGTGGGCTGGGGATAGAGATAGCTTTCACTACCACAAAGAAAAGTGTCTGTTAAGTTTATCTTGAAATGTACTACAAACTCTGGTCTTCCATTTTACCCCCTTTGATGGAGACATGGTGTGTCAAGATACAAGCTGAGCTGCTGTAACAAAAAGTTCCCAAGTTGCAGTAGCTTAAACAATTAGATGATTTATTTTACCCTTTACCATTCAGAGCAAGTGGGCAATCCAGAGAGAGAGGCAGCTCTATTTCAAAAGGCCATCCAGGCACCCAGTCCCTTTTATCTTTTTGCTCTGTCATCCCTGAGGGAGCTTTTGCCCACATGGTTGAAATACCACATCCATCCTCCAATCCAAGAGAAGGGCGTAGGAAGAAGTGGAGGGGGAGTGTCTTTTAAAGATATGAGCTGCACATCACACAATTCCTTCTGCTTGTGTTCCATTGACTCACATGGAATAGTCACCTCTTCCTATTGCAAAGGAGCCATGTGCCCAGCTATAGCTAGAGGGATTCTGTTGCTGAAAAGAACAATGAAAGAGTGGATATTTTAGTATAATCATCAGTCTTTTTTCTTTTTTAATGCTTTTATGTCCTCCAGTCTTTCATCTCTACCATAGAGTGCAGATGGTCAGTATATGTTAAGTGGAGAAATACAGTGTCTCTCTTTCGTAGCCTGACTTGTTTCACTCAGCAGTAAATCTTCCATATTTGTCCACTCTCTATCAAATTTCAGGGCCTTGTTTTTTTTTTTTTATGGCCAATTTATATTCCATGGAGTATATGTGCTACACTTTTTCAATCCATTCATCTGTTTGTGAACATTTGAGTTGGTTCCATGTCTTAGCAATTGTGAATAATGCTGCAATAAATATAGTTGTGCAAGCACTTTTCTGACGGAATATTCTCCTGTCTTTTGGGTAGATATCCAGGAGTGGAATTGCTGGATCATATGGTAGTTCTATTTGAAGGTCTTTGAAGAACCTCCATATTGTTCTCCACAGTGGCTGTAGAGAACCAATTTACATTCCCACCAACAATGTTGGAGTATTCCCCTTTCACCACGTTTTTTTTTTTTTTTAATCTTCGCCATTCTGACTGGGGCTAGGTGGTATCTCACTGAGATTTTGATCTGCATCTCCCTTATGATGGGGGATACTGAGCATGCTTTCATATGCTTTTTGACTGCTCGTATGTCTTCCTTAGAGAGTTGTTTGTTTATTTAGCTCATTTTTCATCTTTTAATTGGGTTAGTCATTTTCTTCTGGAAAGGCCAATTGAGTTCCCTGTATATTCTGGTTATCAGTCCCTTATCTGAGGCACAGTTAACAAAAATTCTCTTCCATTTTAAGGATTGTCAATTCACACTAATTATAGTGTCTTTTGCTGTGCAGAAACTTCTTAATCCGATGAAATCCTACTTGTCTATTTTTGGGATTATTGCTTGTGCTTTGGGGGGGTCATGCTTAAGAAGTCTTTGGCTACCCCAATGTCTTCCAGAGTTTCCCCAGTATTTTCCACTAGTACTTTTATAGTTTGTGGTCTTAGATTTAGATCTTTGATCCACTTTGAGTTGATTTTTGTTAATGGTGACAGATAGGGGTTCATATGTTATTTTAAAAACTGATTTTTCTTTCTTCCTTCCTCCCCCCTTCCCTCCTTTTCTTTCTCTTCTTTCTTTCTTTCTTTCTTTCTTTCTTTCTTTCTTTCTTTCTTTCTTTCTTTCTTTCTTTCTTTCTTTCTTTCTTCCTCTCTTTCCTCTCTTTCTCTCTTTCCTTCTATTTTAATTTGACCAGAGAAAGACGAAAAAAAAGTGAGAAAGCAAGCTGCCAGATCCAGGACTCAAACCATGGTTGGCCATGTGGGAGACCAGTGCCCTTAATCACCACACCACCTGCTGGCCCAATCATCAGTCTTTTAACCATGGGCCCAATAAATATTTTTCTTCCTTTTTGACTCTATTACAAGGAGAGGCTACCAGGCAGAGACCTGCTGCTCCAGACTTGAAAGCTAAACAGCACAGACATCTTGGTAGATGGCAATGGGTGTTGGCCTTAAGGAGAGTAGGGTATGTGGGGACTGTGGTAAACGTGGCAGCACATGCCTCACTGGCAGGGTAAATCTCCTGTGGAGAGGCTTGTGGCCTCTGCTACTTACCTGGTGGGGAGACCACATGCTCATTTTGCCTGGATTTGCAGCATGGCCCATGTGGGGGTACTTACTGAACCCAGTGTGGTGTGTTTTTACCATTATACTGTGAATAGCACAGAAAATCAAGGAGCTATTTGTTTTTTGTTTTTGTTTTTGTTTTGAAAAAGCTTTCTTTCTTCCATGAGCAAGAGAGTCAGACAACAGAGAGAGGCAGAGTGATAGCACTCCCAAAAGGGTCTTCACACTCTGATTCACCACCAGCCTTAGCCAGTCCCAGAGCATGGTACATGCCTGGTGTACTCAGGGAGGTCTCTAAGTGTGAACCTGGGACCTTCCTATGTGGATCAGCCTTGCAGAGTATTGTGTTTTACTACTGATCCACTGCCTGGCTCCAAGGAATTATACATTTTTCTTTTTTTTTTATACATTGTATAAATGTATAATTTGCCTAGTGCAAAACCTGAGAGATATGGAAAGAAAGACTGAGAGAGAAAGTGAGAAATCACCCCTCGGGGAGGATGGCCATGCCACAATCCCTTTTCCTCCATTCTCCTTCTGGGATTTTTAGGAACACATTCATACATACCTGGCATGATTTTCAAGTTACCAGGTCCAGGACTTGAACTGTGATTAGTCATTTGGGAGTCCAGTGCCTTAACTACCACACCACCTGCTGGCCCTGAGATATACTCGTTTAATATTTTTTACTTGGTTAGCAAAGTTACTCACATTATTGAGCAATGAGCAAAGTTTCAACATATGCCTTTGTTATTTCAATTTTACTTAACTTTTAATAGAAACAAAATTATCAACCAACATTCACATACAACTACACTCAGAGCTGGTTGTTAGCCATTTACCAGGACACCTACTAGCTGGAGGTGGCTGTCAGCCCCACTGTTTTCCTTCTGTGTATCGTCATGGCAACCTAAAGAGAAGTCATGTCTGTTCTTTTTCTCACCAGCAGTAAGGTTCCTCATGAACTGTAGCTCTTATAACCATGTTAATGGATGTAATATGACTCTCCCTAGTGTATATTTATTGACTCATTCAATAGTTACTTATTTAGTATCCATTTTCTCTCAGGCACACGCCTAGACACTTGGGCTTAGCAGAGAACAAGACAATCATGTTACTACCCACACGAGCCTTTCATTCTAGGGGGCAGACATTAAATAAATCGTTATTCGACTCATTCAAGTTAGAGGATAATGGCTGGCACTACTGAGCACTTACTGTGTGTCAGGCACTGTCAAAAGCACATCACACGCTCTGGGGCTGGCAGGTGGCGTGGTTAAGGGTAATGGACTCCCACATAGCCAACTGTGGTTTGAGTCCTGGACCTGGCGGATTGCTTTCTCACTTTCTCTTTCTCTGTCTGTATTTTTCTGGTCAAGTTAAAATAAATAAGTAAAGTTAAATAAAATAACTCTAAAAAAAGAGAAAGCACACCATACACTCTCTTAATCCTTATAGAGATTATAGAGTAAGTCCCACTGTTGTCTCCATTTTCAGATGAGAGAACTGGTAGCATGGCTGACTTAGCAAACAGAAAAATTTTGATTTTAATTTGAAGTTAAATTTGAATTTGAGGTAAACAAGGAGTCATTTTTTAGTATATATCCCATAGTGGTATTTTACCTAGCAACCTCAGTTAAGTACCTTGCCCGAGGCCACACAGCTGGTCTGTGTCAAGGTGGGGATTTGCATATTGGTTGTCTGGTCCTGAAGTCCACTTCTTGTCCAGCGCATGCACTGTGCTACCTTCTTAGAGCACCTCTATTTAAGGCAGATTTAGAAAAGATTCCTCAGTTAGCAGAAGAAATCTCTTTCAGGAGAGGCTGGTGGCCTCTTCTTGCCTGGTGGGGAGACCACATGTTCATTCTGCCTGAATTTTGCAGCATGGTCCGCCTGGGGATACTGAGCTTTCTGGGCAGAGGCTGCTGCTCCAGACTTGCAACTCCAAACACTCACAGGACCGGGCAGGCCATGGAATAGGGAAATTAGGCTGGCTGGGCTGGGGTGCACAGGAGGATAAGCAGCTGCCCCTTGGCCTGCTGATTGTTGCCAGAAAGAGAATGCATGCCTAGTGTTGCCAAATCTTTGCATTTTCCAAGAGAAGTTGGAAATCAGGATTTTGTGAGGAATCCTCTGCCTTTGAAATAGTGGCAACTAGTGAAAGATTTTGGAGCTGGCCAAACCAGTCACGTTGGCAGGTTGCCAGCCTGTGGTCTCTGCAGGAAGTTGGGAGGACGGGCCAGGCTGCTGGCCGTGGTGCTGACCACGTGCCCCTGTCCTAACATCATGGCCTTTCCCTTCACCCCATATGCAGGCAGCCATGGAAAACCACCTGGAACAGTGTCTGTACCGGCCCCAGAAGCTGCTGGAGGACCTGAGGAAAACGGATGCTCTGCAGCTCCACACTGTTTTGAAAGGCCTCTTAGAAGATAAGAAGGAGCGCCTGGTGAGATGTTCTCAGTGTCCTGGGAACAGGGCTTTTAACTGAGATGTAGATGGCTGCTGATTGGCTTATCCTGGCTCCTGGCTAGACCGGGGAACAAGAGGGTGAAGTCTGGGCAGAGGGTCTTCAGTCTGGAACAGTGTTTTCTGAAAGGAGTTGAACCATTTAAACATTTGTGTTCCAATAAAACTTTACTCATAAAAACAAGTGGTGGGACAGATTTGGCCTCTGGGTCATATCTTACTAACCAGTTGACCCACTGAATACTCTCCAGGACTTTCTGAAGTAAGGTTAATAAGAATCTTACAATTTCAGTATTCAGGTGAGGACCCTGGAGCTTGGGGAGGTTGAGTAAATCACCTCAGGTTACACAGCTTGGACATGGCAGATCACAGGTTAGAACCTGGGCTCTTATCTCTGGCTGTGAGCCTTCTTTCCTCTGTGAAGCCTGTGCAGAATAATGTTTTCTCAGGCTTCACCAGAAGCCCTTTCTCAGAATAATGGATTCTTTGTAAAATAATGTTTTAAAAATCATAAAAACGAGGGGCCAGCAGGTGGTGTGGTGGTTAAAGGTCTGGACTCTCATATGGCCGGCCACCATTCAAGTCCCAGACCTGACGGCTCGATTTCTCACTCTTTCATGCTCTTTCTCTGTGTCCTTCTCTGGTGAGCACATGTGCCCTATAGCAAATTTTAAGAAAATAATAATACATACAATAAAATAATTCTTTAAAAAAATCTATAAAACGAAATGCAAAATATTACAAAGGAAGCCAATTCCATTGAAAAACGTTTTCAGAATGTATCAAATGAACACATTCAGGTAATTCATGTGCTTCTTTAGCACATTTGATATCAAGACTTAGCAGCAGGTCTAAGAACTTCTATAATTGTGAGGACATGTTGAATGCAAACAAGATTTCAATGCATCTGCAGTTGCTCAAATATCCTATGGGAGTATCTGATTCCAGTGATGACGAAGTCAAAGACCCTGCTACCTTATGGTGCCCAGTGCCCATGTTCATTGCGACCGGAAAGGCTACATGTCGGTTCTACGTTAGTGACAATGAGGAGGCACACTTTCTTCAATGTTCATAGATACCCCAAATTCTATTCACAGATGTACTCTTAACCACTATACTGTAGTGAATGACTGAAGTTTGGAGACACTTGGTGATGGTTAAAGTGTGGGTTTGTGCTCAGCTGTGCTTGCTTCATGGCTCAGCTCTGAATAATGTGGGCTGGTTGATCATTCTGTTTCCTTTTCCTCACCTGTGATATTGAGATAATAAGAGTGTGTAACATTTGTTGCCTGTTCACCAGGTACCAGACATTTACAGTCCTTATCTCATTCAATGCTCACACAAACCTAAGAGGCAGATACTGATTTTTTTTTCATTTTTTTCTTTTGGAGAGGTTTTTGCTATAGGGTGCATGTGCTCGCCAGAAAGACAGAGAGACACAGAGAGACAGAAAGCGAGAAATCACCCCCTGGAGGGATGGCCATGCCGCAATCCTTTCTCCTCCATTCTCCTCTTGGGATCTTGGGCATGCACGTACATGCACCTAGAGTGAGGTTTAGCCACCAGGTATGGGACTTGAACCATGGTCGACTACATGGGAGTCCAGCAACATAGCCATTATGCTAACTGGGGTCCCAGCAGGTACTGATTTTTATCTCCATTTTACAGCAGAGGGAAGTTTGACTTAAAAATGTTAAGTGACTCGCTCAAAGACACACAGATAATGAGTGGAAGCCCTGGGATTTAAATCTAGCAATACCAGACCCTAGGACCTATGAGGCTTAACCTGTAGGACTGTCATGGAAGTTGAAGTTCTCCATGCTTGGCACAGTGCCCGGCGTGTAGTCGATGCTCAGTACAAGGATGGCTATTTTTGGAGGGTGTATAGGGATGGAGGAAGAGGAATCAGTCATCTTCTGTTCTGTGGTTCAAAGGCTTCATTCATTCATTCATTTTGAATAGGCTATTTTTCTTTTTTCACCCCCTGTATTGTGTACCAGAATATAAATGATACACCTCTGACCCTCGTGTTCTGAATAAAATGCTAATTTTGGAAAAAAAATTGATGTGAGCTTATGGCTTCCATAGCATGACAGACAGTCAAAGGGTCTTGATCCAGAGATCTTCCTCCAGCTTTAGGCACCCAGGATCATGGGGTCAAGGACACATGTGCGTGGTATACTCAGGAAGGGCTCTGGAGGTGGAACCCTCCCACGTGGGTCAGCTTAGTGGAGTGCACTGCCCGGCCCCGAGGCTATTTTTCAATGTCCTCTAGGGACTAGGCACTCCACTATGCTCATGGTTTGGGCCTCGAGGACTTTCCTGGTTCAACCTCAGATATACATTAGAGCCCAATCTGGAACTCACCCCAGGCCAATTAAATCAGACTGTATATAGTACAGCTGGAGTTTAGGACTTCTTACGAGCTCCCAGATGATTTTTTAAAAGAATTATTTAATTTTATTTATTATTAATACTATTATTATTATTCATTTTTAAATTTGACTAGAGAGAAAAAGAGAAAGAGAGAGAAGGAAAGTGAGAAAGCAAGCTGCCAGGTCCAAGACTCAGACCATGGCTGGTCGTGTGGGAGTCCAGCACCTTAACTACCATGCCATCGACTGGCCCCTCTCCCAGGTGATTCTGATGTGCAGCCAGAGTAGAGACCACAGGCTTAGAGGAAAGACATGTACATGAGCATCTTTAATGCACATAGATTTTGTTTGAGATACTCTGTATATACATGGAAGAGGGAGGTCTGATTTAAAGCAGGAAGTCAGGGGTTCAGAGAAGACTTTACTAAGGAGGTCATAATTGAGCTTGGCCTCAAAAAAGAAGCTGTGTTTGGTTATGAGAAAGGGGAGTGGGAATCCCAGCTAGACTGAGGACCTGAGGTGTGAAGGTCATGATATATCTGGAGAGTGGGGATGGAGCAAGTGAAGGCCTTGACTTTGTTTTGCAGGTAATGGAAAGTTCTAGAAGTTTTGACATAGCACCCTGATATTAAACAGTGATCCTGAACGCCCCTGCTGCTGCAATGTGTGATTCCTTCCAGGGCTTCCAAACCAAGGGCCAGAGCTCAAGGTGATCCTACTGTTTCTCAATCCTTTAGGATCTGCAAGATATCGTCATTGACCTGGGAGAGATTCGAGAACAAGCCTTACGGAGCCCTGGTGTCAATCGCAGCCTGTTTCTCATCACTCTGGAGAGGTGTTTCCAAGTGTTGAACTCCCTGGAGTGTGTGGAGATCCTGGGCAGGTTGCTGAGGGGGTCCTCAGGCAGCTTTCTCCAGCCAGACATCACGGAGAGGCTCCCTCGGGACCTGCGTGAGGATGCCTTTAAAAACCTGTGAGTACTTCCTCCTACCCTCTTGACTCCTCATGCTGTTCCTCAGAGACTCTTATGAGAATTCAGGGAGGTAGTACCTGGAAGAGTGGAGAAGAGAGGTGGGAACAGGTGGATATGTGAGTTCTGGAGCTTAAAAGCTGTGAAGTTGAGAGATGGCTTAATTAAAACAGCGTCTCCTGGGGCCAGGAGGTTGCATGGTGGTTAAGGTGCTGGACTCCCACATGGTTGACCGTGGTTTGAGCCCTGGACCTTGCAACTTGCAAATCACACCAGGTACATATGCATGTGTGCCCAAAATCCAGAGAGGAAAAGGGTTTGCAGTGTGGCTATCTCTCTTGGGGTTGATTTCTCACTTTCCCTCTCCCTGTCTCTATCTCTCTATGGTGAACATGTATACCCTATGGCAAAAACCTAAAACAAATGAGGGAACCAGCAGTTAGCATAATGGCTATGTCGCTGGACTCCCACGTAGTCGATCGCGGTTCGCATCCCAGACCCGGTGGCTTAAAACTCACGCCGGGCGTGTATGCATGCGTGCCCAAGATCCCGAGAGGAGAATGGAGGAGAAGGGATTGCGGCATGACCATCCCCCCTGGGGGGTGATTTCTCGCTTTTTGTCTCTATGTCTCTGTCTGTCTGGCGAGCGCACGCGCCCTATAGTGAAAATCTCTTAAAAAAAAAAAAAACCTAAAACAAATGAAAGACATGAAAGCCAGTGTCTCCCAAAGTCTAGGCATTCTGATACCATCTACACTATTTTTGCCATATTATATATCATCTATACTATTATTTGCTCCACGTTTTTCTTTATAACAACTAATTCTGTTTACTTAAAAATATTTATTTTAAAAGTGAATTTGAGAGCCAGATGTTAGTGCAGTGGTAAAATATGATGCTGTGTTCTGCGAGGCAATCCCACATTGAAAGGTTCCTGGCTCCTGTCTGGAGACCTCTCTGAGTACGCTGGGCCCATGCTAGCCTAGGATCTGAGGCTGGCTGGAGGATGGCAGTGGGTTGAACATGAGGACACTGTTGGGTGTGCTGTCTCTGTCTCCCTCACTCATGGAAAACATTTTCCAAAAAGTAAGTATCACACACACACACACACACACACACAAACACACACGATAAATGTGAAATCTTTTGTCTTAAGTAAAAGCAAATTGTAAACACAAATACCAAAAAATAAGTACATGACTAAGTCCTAGCTAGATATGTTGCTTGCCTAAGTGTCCTGGTCAGCTCAGGCTGCAATAGCAAAATACCATAAAGTGGTGGCTTAGACAAAAACGTCTATTTCTCACTGTTCTGGAGGATAGGAAGGCCAAGATCAAGGTGCAGAATCCACATCTGGTGAGGGCCACAGAAGGCACCTTCTCACTCTGACTTCACATTGCAGAAGGCGTGAGGGAGCTCTCTGGGGTCTCTTTTGTAAGGGTGCTGCTATAGCTTGAATATGTCCCCACAGCTCATGTGTTGGAAACTGAATTGCCCCTGTAATAATACGATTTGGGTCCCAGACCTGACAGCTTGAAAAACGTAGGTATATGTACATGTGTGCCTAAAATCCTGAAAGGAAAAAGAAGAGAAGTAATTGTGGCATAACCATCCCCCAGGGAAGGTGCTTTCTCACTACCCCATCTCTCTCTTCCAGGAAGCACACATGCCCTAGAGCAAAAGAAAAAAAAGGGGGGGGGTGATTAGGCCATAAGGGTTTTGCCTTCATAAATGGATTAATTACATTACTGTGAGAGTGAGTGCGTTTTTTTTTTTTTCCTGTAGGGCGTGTGCATTTGCCAGAAAGACAGAGAGAGACAGAGAGACAGAAAGTAAAAAATTACTCCCCAGGGGGGATGGCCCCGCCACAATCTCCTCCATTCTTTTCTTGGGATCTTGGGCATGCATGCGCACATGCTCGGCATGAGTTTAAGCCACTGGGTCCAGGACTCAAACCATGGTTGACTATATGGGAGTCCAGTGACATAGCCATTCTGCCAACCGCTGGTCCCAAAGAGAGAGAGAGAGAGAGAGAGAGAGAGAGTTTTTGCAGGTATGAGTTTCTAAAAAAACAGGATGAGTTTGGTCTAATTTCTTCTTTCTATCTCAGTGTTCTCTTGCTATGGGATGCTGTCTGCCCTTCTCTGGGACAACCCTCACTGATGCCAGTCCCACTCTTGGACTTCCCAATCATTAGACCCATAAGAAATAAATTTCTTTTAGTTATAAATGACCCAGTCTGAGGTATTGTATTATAGCAACAGAAAATGAGCTAAGACAGACAGTAATCCCTTTCATGAGGACTCCACTTTCATGGTCTAAATGATCTCCCACCTCTTAATACCATCCCATCGAGTGTTAGGATTTGACACGTGAATTCATTTTTTGGACACACAAATTCATTTCGTAGCACAAGGCTCTGAGCCTGAGGCCTGTCCACTCGGTTAAAAAGGAGCTAAGTGTGTTAAAGGCTCCCTGGCACTGAAGTGAGTTCCCTCCTTGAGGCACGTGAAAGGATTGACAGAGCACTGCAGAAAGGATATCACGCCAACTACTGTTTGTTAGCACCTAGCCCTGTTTGACGGTACACTTCGGGAGAACAAGATCAGCAGGATTATGTTTAGGACGTAAAGGGCCCTGGGCACTGTTACTACCACCAGCTCTCTCCTTTTATGAATTCTCGCACTTTAGGACCAGTCTCTTTCTAAATCTAACAATGATTCAGAAGAAGGAGAAGACCAATAGGATGCCAATGATTTGGAAGATTCCTTTTTGTAGTCAAAAGACTGTTGGGGAAACAGACAATATGTTGACCTCAATTTGTCTTCAGGGTGTCGTTTTTTTGTTTTTGGCCAAGACATATATTTCATGAAATCCCTTTGCTCTTCAGGCCATTATGCAATCCCTGCTAAATTCAGCATCTCCTCCCTCCTCCACTCACTCAGGCTATATGAGGGTGGGAGTGAAGGGGTGAGACCATCACTGGGAGAGGAGTTTACTGGTCAGTGCTCATCTGATAGTAAGAGATGAAACCCCATTCAAACTGATTTGAGTCCAAAAAATTAATTATTGGATCATGTAATTAAATAATTTTAAGTGTAGGGCTGACTTCAGGCACAGCTGGATCCAGAGATTAAGTGTAGGGCTGACTTCAGGCACAGCTGGATCCAGAGACTCAGTTTATGCCACTGGGAATATCTTGAGTTCTTTATCTCTTTGCTCTATTCTCCTCTATTTGGTTTGGTTCTCCAGCCAGATTGGCTACAAGGTAGCATTGGCAGATACAGGCCTAGCCCCTTAGAGCACCTAGTCCAGAGGACACAAAGAATATCTTTTCAATGGTTGCAAGCAAAGCCCTAGATACGATCCCTATTGGTTAGCCTGGGTCATGTGCCCATCCTTGAACCAATCACTGTGATTGAGGGGATCTAATAGGCTGAATGGCTTAGATGTGGTCCAAAGCCTAACCCAAATAGCATAGACCAAGAGTGAGAGAAATATGAAGATTTTTTTGTTTAACCTCAAGAAAAAACTAAGGTGCTCTTATGAGAAAAGGGGAATAGATGTTGGGCAGTCAAACTCCCCAAATGGTCACTACAGAAATCAACTTTTGAGACCAGCAAGTGGCATGCTTATCACTTACTTGTTTATAGAAAAAGAATTATTTTATTATTTAACTTTATTTATTTATCTTAATTTGACCAAAGAGTGACAGAGTGAGAGAGAGGGAAAGTAAGAAAGCAAACCACCAAGTCTGGAACTTGAACTGTGGTTGGCCATGTGGGAGTCTAATGCCTTAACCACTATACCACTAGCTGGCCTCAACTTATCATTTATTCTTTTTTTAAAATTTATTTAGTTTTATTATTATTATTTAAATTTGCACTCACCAGAGAGAGGGAAAGTGAGAAAGCAAGCAGCCAGGTCTGGGACTTGAACTGCAGTCAGCCATGTAGAAGTCCAGTGCCTTCACCACCACACCACCTGCTGGACTCACCATTATTTCTAAAGAACTATATCTTTTCCCTGTCCTTATCCTTCCACCTGCTCCTGCTCTTTCAAGAAAATAATAAAAGAAAGAAAAAAGAAGAGAAAAACGCAGTCTGTGGTATATAAGGAGGTCTTGATCAACAACAGATCACACATAGGATGGTGTCCCATAGGATTGTCACAGAGCTGGAGGCCAGCGGATGGCATAGTGGTTATATCACTGGACTTCCACATGGCCAGCCGTGGTTCAAGTCCCAGAAACTCACACGGGGCATGTGTGCACGTGTGCTCAATATCCCAAGAGGAAAATGGAAGAGAAAGGATTGCTATGTGGCTATCCCACTGGGGGGGGAGGGGGCGACTTCTCACTTTCTCTCTCATTGTCTGTCTCTCTCTCTCTCTCCAGTGAGTACATGCACCCTAAGGCAAAAACCTTTGTTTTTTTTCTTAAAAAAAAAGATTATTACAGAGCTGCAAAAGTCCTATCTCTAGTGACATCATAATTTTTATAATGTCATAGCACATATGGTGGTGGGCTGGTGTAACCAACTGGCTGCCAGGGCACATGAGTACAGCACATGCAGTTATGTCCCGCACATCATACTTGATAACGGTAACAAACGACTGCTACTGTTTGCTTTTACTCTACTGTGCTTTTTATTATCATTTAGAGTGTACTCTTTCTATGCACACAGAAAACAGTTCACTAGAAAACAGTGCGCCATGTCATGCCAGCTGCAGCCTCATCGATCTTGTGTTTACCGCGTCTCTCGATGAACTGTTTTCTGTTGTGCTTGATTTAATCTCAGGCTGTCTTGTTCATCATGGTTCTTCCAGTGGGAAAAGATGTGGAGATGGAAGAAAGCGATATTGATGATCCTGACCCTGTGTAGGCCTAGGTTAATGTGTGTATGTGTGTCTTTGTTTTTAACAAAAAAGTGTAAAAGGATAAAAATACATAAATAAACATTTTAGAAATAGAAAAAGACTAAGGAAATAAGGAAAGAAAGAAAGAAAATATTTTTGTCCAGCCATGCCATGTGTTTGTGTTTCCAGATAAGTTTTATTAGAAAAGAGTAAAAATAATTTTTAAAAATGAGTAAGTTTAGGGACTAGCAGTTGGCATGGTGGTTAAGGCACTAGATTCCCACGTGGCCAACCCCAGTTAAGTCCCAGACCTGGCTGCTTGAAAAATCACACCAGGTGCATGTGTGAGTGCTTAAAATCCTGAGAGGAGGACGTAGGAGAAGGGATTGTGGTGTGGCCTTGTCCCTCAGGGGTGATTTCTCACTTTTCCTCTCTTTATCTTTCTATCTCTCTAGAGAGTACACATGCCCTATGGTAAAAACCTTAAAAAAAAGTTTATAAAACAAAAAATTACATTAAGTTATAGTTCATTTATTATTTAAGAAAGTTTATTAAAAATAAATTTGGGGGGGGACCAGCAGTTGGCGTAATGGCTATGTTGCTGGACTCCCATGTAGTCAACCGTGGTTCGAGTCTTGGACCTGGTGGCTTGAACTCCTGCCAGGCGCATGTGCATGCGTGCCCTAGATCCTGGGAGGAGAATGGAGGAGAAGGGATTGTGGCGTGGCCATCCCCCCCGGGGGATGATTTCTCACTTTCTGTCTCTCTCTTTCTGTCTTTCTGGCGAGTGCACGTGCTCTATAGCAAAAACCTCTCCTAAATAAATAAATAAATAAATAGAGGGACAAGCAGATGGTGTAATAGTTACGTCATCAGACTCCCACGTAGTTGACTATGGTTTCAGTCCTAGACCCAATGGCTTAAAACTCATGCTGGACGCATTTGTGTGCATGTCTCAAATCTCAAGAGAATGGAGGCAGAGGGATTGTGGCATAGCCTGGGGAGTGATTTCTGACTTTCTGTCTCTCTGTCTCTCCAATGAGTGCACCTGCCCTATAGCAAAAATCTCTCTAAAAAATAAAATAAATAAATTCAGCATAACCTAAGTATACAGTCTTTATGAAGGCTGCAGCGGTGTACACTAGCATTCTAGACATTCACATTTATTCTCTACTCACTCACTGACCCACCCAGAGCAACTTTCAGTCCTGTAAGCTCCACCCATTGTGGGGCCCTATACTGGTATACCATATTTTGTCTACTATGCCAGGTTTTCACTGTACCTATTCTACTTTTAGATGTGCCTAGAAATACAGTATTTCCTGAGTTACAGTCAGCTCCTGAATTCAGTACAGTAACCTGCTGTGCACGTCTGTAGTGTAGGAACAATAGACTACAATACCATATAGCCTAGAAGTGTGGAAGGCTGCAACACCCAGATTTGCACAAGTACACTATATGATATTTGGGTGACAAAATTGCCTAATAGCGAATTTCTGACAACGTATCCCTGGCATTAAGCAACACATGACTATGTATAGAAAGGACATTAGGTTGAATTTAAAGAGAAGTTTGCCTATTCACATATAAAATGACTAGGAGTGATTTTAAGGGGGCAGGTTGGTGAATTGGTTGTTTGGTAAAGGGGTCTTCAGTGGTGACAGGTGGGGTGAGGGAAGGCTTCTGGGACAACGAGACTGCACTGCTTTTCAGGATGAGCAGGGCAGGTGAAGAGTGCCGATGCTGTGAAGTAGCCAGTTCTGTACGGACCAGATGGGATCTCTGGATACGGCTAGGAGGTCCTTGGTGACTTTCCACGGCATCACCACAGGAAGTGATGTGGTGATAAGTGCACCAAGCTGCGGCCAGAGTTCTATATTCAAAACGTCAGAGAATAAGAAGTGATGAAGAGGAGGTGGAAAAATCAGAACCTTCCTGCACTGCAGGTGGGACCGTACAGTGGTGCAGCTGCTTGAGACAGAGTCTGGCATTTCTCAGAGCTAAACAGAGTTGCCCTTTAACCCAGCAATTCTACTCTAAAAGACATAGACACAATGCATAGGTGCACAAACTTGTTCACGAGTATTTATATCAGCAGTATTTATAAAAGACAAAAGGTGGAGACAACTTAGAAGTACCGCAGCTGATGCATGGGTAAACAAAATGTGGTACATCCATACAATGGAATATTATTTGGCCATAAAAAGGGATGAAGTACTCATATATGTTCTAACATGCATGAACCTTATGCCAAGTGAAAGAAGCCAGACATGAAGACTGCCATATTGTATCATCCCATATACATGAAATCCAGAATAGGCAAAACTAGAGACAGAAAACAGATTAGTGGTTTCTAGGAGTTGGGGAGACTGGGGGTTGAGGGATGGTAGCTAAGAATAGGGGATTCTTTTTTAGATACTTAAGATGTCCTAAAATGGATCGTGATGATGACTGCAAAACTCTGAGAATATACTGAAACCATCGACTCATACACAGTAGATGGGTGAATTCTATTGGTATATGAATTATATCTCAATAGAGCTGTTACAAAAACAAAACAAAAGAACCAGGAGGTGCAGAGGTGGAAACAATTTGCATAGGCTACTCTTTGGAAGGTGTTAATCTGCGGAGGGGAAGAAGAGAAAGGGGAAACATCGCTACATACAGAAAAGAGGTAGAAACAGTTTCAACACTAGACAGCTTTGAGGATGTTAACTGTTTTATCTCCCCTTCATTATTTTAGTTTATTTAATGTATTTATTTTTTTTGTCGTAGGGTGTGTATGCTAGTCAGAGAGAGACAGTGAAAGGGGAAGTGAGAAATCATCCCCTGGCGGGATGGCCACACTACAATACTCTCTCCTCTTTTCTCCTCTCGGGATTTTGGACACACATGCATACAAGCCTGGTGTGATTTTCAAGCCACCGCATCTGGGACTTGAACTGCTGTTGACCATGTGGGAGTCCAGTGCCTTAACCACCACTCCACCTGATGGCTCCTCCCTTTCACTATTATCATTTATTTTGCTTTATTTTTTAAGACAGGGTCTCACTGTGTTCCAATCCCCCCTCCTCAGTCTCCCACCTGGGACTGCACTGCCCAGGCCAGCCTTGAGCTCACGATCCTCCTGTCTCAGCCTCCCTTGTCACTGGGATTGGAGGCACATGTCAGTGTCTCCTGTCTTTTGTATGGACCAAGAATCGAACCCAGGACATCCCTGTGGTCCCAGCCTGTGGAGTGCAGCTTCTTAGTAGTGCTCTTCACCACAGTTGGCTTGTCACCTTTTAAAGCAGTCTCCACTTGTTTGCTATTAATCAATGCCCATTTGTGTCATTAAGCTCTGCAGTGTTCAGAGACCTCTACGACCAGACCTCAGCTCACGCCCAGAGAGCTCTCTACTCCTGGATGGCTGGGATTCTGCAGACATCCTTCAACACCACTGGTGAGCCTGTGCATCAGCTGGGGGTCACCATTTGGGGAAAATCTATCTTTTTTTTTTTTGGAGAGGTTTTAGCTATAGGGCGCGTGCGCTCGCCAGGCAGACAGACAGAGACAGAGAGACAGAAAGTGAGAAATCACCCCCCAGGGAGGATGTCCACGCCACAATCCCTTCTCCTCCGTTCTCCTCTCAGGATCTTGGGCATGCATGCACACGTGCCCAGTGTGAGTTTTAAGCCACTGGGTCCAGGACGCGAACCGCGGTTGACCACGTGGGAGTCCAGTGACATAGCCATTACGACAGCTGCTGGTCCCGGAAAATCCATCTTTGAAAGAGATACTTTATCTCTTAAAACTGGGGTTTGATTTCATTGTCCCATTTTTTTTTTCTTTTAACATTCTTCCTTTGCAAAAAGGGTTTGATGTGGTTTATGGAATAAAACACACACCTCATTCATCATTGTACTTTTGACACGTTGAAGTCTCTGAAATAAGGATGCATCTGTATCTTAAAATCAATGATATGTTCTAGTTTTTTTAGTGGAACATAAATAATGATGACATCTTAGATTTGATGAAAATCTTTAGTATAAGGTTATGAGTTCAAACTCTATGTTAAAAAAAAGCCTGTATTAAAGTGAGACAAGATAATTTTGTTAGAAAAATTAGGCAATAAAACACACAGATGTAGCTCTGAGCTTCCTGGCAACCAAAGAATAAATAGGTCAAGAGTAATCCGTTTGATAGATTTTTATTAAAAGCTTCCTTATGTCTTAGTCAAATTCACCGAGAAATTGGAAATGGCAGTAGAGTGTCAGTTTGACAAGATAGGAAAGGTTCTGGGATGGATGGTGGTGGTGGTTGCACCATAATGTGAAAGTTCTTACAGTCCTTCAACTGTTCCCTTAAAAATGGTTAAGATAGTAAATATCATGTTACTTGTATTTTATCACAACTGAAAAAAAAAAAGAGTCAAGATAAAAAGAATGGTTATGTATTAATAGATTAGCAATGAAGGTAAATGTTTAATGTTAATAATGTAAACAGAACAAACTCTTAAACACTTTAAAAAAGTTGACTTGTGAAGATAGAATGGAAAAATAAGACAAAGTCTTTGCTCTCATATATCTCTATATATATATACATATAAAGAAATTTTTCTTAAAAAAAGGTTTCTGCCCTAGGGTATATATGCTTACCAGAGAGAGACAGAGACAGTGAAAGGCAAAGTGAGAAATCATGCCCCCCCCCAGGGGGGATGGTCATGCCACAATCCCTTCTCCTCTGTTCTCTTCCTGGGATCTTGGGCACACACGTGCACACATCCAGTGTGATTTTCAAGTCACTGGGCCCAGGATTTGAACCGTGGCAAGCCATGTGAGAGTCCAGCAATATAACTACTATGCCACCTGCTGGCCTCCATATACCTACCTATTTTTAAAGATGTATTTCCTTATTTATGATAGAACAGATACAGATGTATATGAACATGAGAAACAGAGAGAGAGGAAGAGATGAGTCCCCTCCATGGGGACTGGTCCCACCACTGTCTCCTTTTCCTGGTCCTCCAGCCTGCTGGATCTTGAGCACTTGTGCAGGGGCCAGGCATATTTGAAATTGAATGGGCCAGGGATTTGAACCATGGATGACATGTGTGATCTGGCTTCTCTTGAGCAATGCATTATCACTGCTCCATGAAGCCAGCCCTAATAGGTCTACTGTCTTACAAGAGGTCTTCAAGATTTTACTGCAGTCTGTTCTGTGAAAAAAAAAAAAAAACCCAAAACAATGGGGCCAGCAGGTGGTGTGGAGGTTAAGGTGACTGGATCCCACATGGCCAGTTCCATGGTTCAAGTCCTTGACCTAGCAGCTTGAAAAATCACACTGGGCATGAGTGCATGCGTGCCCCAAATCCCTAGAGTAGAATGGAGAAGGGATTGTGGTGTGACCCTCCTCTCTAGGGGCAGTGATTTCTCTTTTTCTCTCTGTTTGTTTTTGTCTTTCTCTGGAGAGTGCATGCGCTCTATTACAAAAACTAGAAAAATAATGGGGAGGGGGGAGAAAAACAAATTATGCATGATTCCAAAATTTTTGGCACCAAAATAATTAGTAATTTAATTCCACTTTTCATGAACTGTTTGAAGTCCCCTTGTATTGTGGAAGGATAAGTGGAGGAAATTTTTATACAAGCAGACAGAGAGAGAGAGAAAGAGAAAAAGAGAAACTGAGATACTGGTAGTTGCTATAAAGAAAATAAAATGAATAAATGCCAAAAAAGGTTTGACGTGGTTTGTGGAATGAAACACAAGATAAGCTGCCTTAGCTTGGCCTGGCTAAATGTTTTCTGTGAAGGGCAGAGTAAACGTTTTAGTCTTCGTGAGTCTACAGTCTTCCTCTCTACTGTTCAGCTCTGACATGCAGTTCCAAAGCAGCCACGCACACGAGATGACAAGGCATGCCTATGCCTCAGTAAAACTATTTACGGGCACCAACCCCCCCCAGGGGGGATGGTCATGCCACAATCCCTTCTCCTCTGTTCTCTTCCTGGGATCTTGGGCACACACGTGCACACATCCAGTGTGATTTTCAAGTCACTGGGCCCAGGATTTGAACCGTGGCAAGCCATGTGAGAGTCCAGCAATATAACTACTATGCCACCTGCTGGCCTCCATATACCTACCTATTTTTAAAGATGTATTTCCTTATTTATGATAGAACAGATACAGATGTATATGAACATGAGAAACAGAGAGAGAGGAAGAGATGAGTCCCCTCCATGGGGACTGGTCCCACCACTGTCTCCTTTTCCTGGTCCTCCAGCCTGCTGGATCTTGAGCACTTGTGCAGGGGCCAGGCATATTTGAAATTGAATGGGCCAGGGATTTGAACCATGGATGACATGTGTGATCTGGCTTCTCTTGAGCAATGCATTATCACTGCTCCATGAAGCCAGCCCTAATAGGTCTACTGTCTTACAAGAGGTCTTCAAGATTTTACTGCAGTCTGTTCTGTGAAAAAAAAAAAAAAAACCCAAAACAATGGGGCCAGCAGGTGGTGTGGAGGTTAAGGTGACTGGATCCCACATGGCCAGTTCCATGGTTCAAGTCCTTGACCTAGCAGCTTGAAAAATCACACTGGGCATGAGTGCATGCGTGCCCCAAATCCCTAGAGTAGAATGGAGAAGGGATTGTGGTGTGACCCTCCTCTCTAGGGGCAGTGATTTCTCTTTTTCTCTCTGTTTGTTTTTGTCTTTCTCTGGAGAGTGCATGCGCTCTATTACAAAAACTAGAAAAATAATGGGGAGGGGGGAGAAAAACAAATTATGCATGATTCCAAAATTTTTGGCACCAAAATAATTAGTAATTTAATTCCACTTTTCATGAACTGTTTGAAGTCCCCTTGTATTGTGGAAGGATAAGTGGAGGAAATTTTTATACAAGCAGACAGAGAGAGAGAGAAAGAGAAAAAGAGAAACTGAGATACTGGTAGTTGCTATAAAGAAAATAAAATGAATAAATGCCAAAAAAGGTTTGACGTGGTTTGTGGAATGAAACACAAGATAAGCTGCCTTAGCTTGGCCTGGCTAAATGTTTTCTGTGAAGGGCAGAGTAAACGTTTTAGTCTTCGTGAGTCTACAGTCTTCCTCTCTACTGTTCAGCTCTGACATGCAGTTCCAAAGCAGCCACGCACACGAGATGACAAGGCATGCCTATGCCTCAGTAAAACTATTTACGGGCACCAACGTGTGAAGATCATATGCTTTTTACATGCCTCCAGGTAATGGGCTCTGTTTGGCCCAGGGGCTGTAGTTTGTTGACTGCTGGACTAAGGAATCAGGGACAATCTCCTGAGTGGGTGACATTTGAAATAAGGCCACAAGGGGGAAATAGAATCAGCCACGTGAGGCTCTGGAGAACAGGCATTCCAGGCAGAGGGACCAGCAAATATGAGGTGTCTTTAAAAAGTGGGGCTGGCAGGTGGCATGGTGGTTAAGGTGCTGGACTCCCACATGGCTGACTGTGGTTCAAGTCCCAGATCTGGCAGCTTGCTTCCTTTCTCTCTGGTCAAAATTTTTTAAAAAGGTAATAATAATAAAAAATAAAAACTCAATGAAATAATTCTTTTAAAAAAAATGTTCATGGGGAGACCAGAGAGCAGTACAGCAGTAAAATATGATGCTCTGTGAGGTAATCCCCGGGGGTCGGGGGGAGGTTCCTGGTTCAAGTCTAGAGACCTTCCTGAATATGCCCAGCACACATGTGCCCATAATCTGGGCTTGGCTGAAGGCTGGGGTGGATCAAGGTGTCAGAACCTTGTTGAGTGCTCTCTTTTGTTCTCTTCAAATCTTGCTCATGGAAGAAATAAATCAATATTTAAAATTTTATGGAAAATGTGTATTAAGAAAAAATTATGCATAGATTTCAAATTTTTGTACCAAAATAAATATATACTTTAATTCCATTTTTCCATGAAATTGTTGAAGTCCCCTCATACAAAGGCCTTGAGTGAGAAATGAGCTCTGAGTGTTAGGGAAACACAAAGGAAGCCAGTGTGAGTG